CAGCGTTGTGCTAGTATTAACCGTTGACGCTTATATATGACTCTGAAGTCATATGATGTGACATGAATCCGTATGTCCGAGAAGAAAGGATTTTTATTAATACTCTTTGGACCCTATCGAAGAAGCTAACGAATCTGATTCGTGTATCAAATATGTGTAAGTAAAAAAAAAAAAGAAGAACATTTTGGAGAGTAAATGTATCAGCGACATCCGTGTAATATATATATATATAGTTAAATTTATTTTGATCAAATAAAAAACAGTAACGATGCTTTTTGCTTTTTGCTTTTTTTTTAAAGTCATAAGCGCTTCGCAAATCCACAAAACGGTATACGTTTTATATGCCATTGCTAGGACACAACTAATAAGAAAAGAACTCAAAAAGTTACATGCTTCCACATAAAAAGGTATCTGACCTAAACGGACGGGACGGACGGATCTCTTTTTAGATTAGATCTGAGAGCAAAACTAGTCATCGTTGTATCCTACATCAGTTATAGTACAGCGCATACATTAAAGGCTGTACGGATGTGTGTAACTTACAGTAGGCTCGCATGTTACTATACTGATGGATTCAGAATCATTATTGATTCGGCAATTATTAAACTATTTTGACAAAATTTTTATATTGACTTTTTGCAATCGGCCAAGAGCGGAGCCTTCTTTTCGAAAAAATTGTTACATTAAAAGATAAATGAAGAGAAGGTTGGTAACGTATTTAATGGCCGACCTTATCCGATTGTAAAGGTATTCGATAGAGAAGAGAAGAGATTAGGTTTCGAAAGTTTCGAAAGTTTGTATATTTAAACTTTCCTATACAAACAAATAATTATTATTAACAATATTTTTTTTCGTTTTGTTTAAATTTTAAATTTAGAAAAGAGAGAGAGAGAGAGAGAGAGAGAGAGAGAGAGAGAGAGAGAAGTACTTTCAGGCAAAGACTATAACCTTAAAAAAAATTCTACAAATCGTGAAAATACAGATGCTACAGAGGATATTGAAAGTTTCAATCGTAGCTGTACGCGCGATTGGTTGTTGTATTTCGTAAAAGCTTATTCATATCGAATTCCATAGTCAGCAGCAACATTGGCATTTATTTCTATTGTCTCTCGTCTATTGTTTTATGTGCGTGTGCAACAAGCACAAAGGAAAATAAAAATGCAAGAAAATATTTTCCCCTCGTTTCTAAAAATCACAGCTTGTTCGAATATTCGCTACCATAGACGAATAACAATAATAGTGCAATTCGTAAATTTAACAATCATTGCAAGGCACCGAACGAACGAGCACACACTAAACCGCAAAACCATATCAAAATATAACGAAAAAGGAAAAAAAAAAAAAAAGAAAGGGAAATAAATAAAAATAAATAAATAAATAAATAATAATAATAATAATAATTATATGCAAATGGTTTCCGTTAGAATCTGCTTTGGATAGCTTCTCCTTTAGTTTTTCTTTCTTTTCTCAGTTTTCATTACTCAACACTTAAGCATAACAAAAGGCAATGGAATTGCATCGCTTTTCCTCACACGCATATTAACCAATGAAATAATTGCTGCTTGGCTTATAGCTTTTATGCACTTATTTATTGTTCTTGAACATTATGATTGTTTTGCTTTTGTTGTTGTTGTTGTTGTTGTTCGTTTTGTTGATTTTTGTATTTTTTGCTTCTTCTAATTAGAAATTATTATATTTGCATGCAGAGAATTGTCAAGTACAAGCAGAGAAATACTATCACTTGTGCAGTATATTCCAAGTAAATCAAAAGAGCTTTTTACCGAATATTTTACATAAAATGGAATTTAATAAAAGAAAAAAATTCTTACACCAAAAATCTTTTTGAAAGAAAAATTACCGGGTAATCAACTTGATTTTTTTTTTTTTTTTGTTAAGCATGTAATATGTCATCTAGTTCGCTATAATAAAACGTCCTCATAAATTTGTCTTTTCGCGTAGTTCAAAAATCCATGATAATTATAGCGAAGTATTAGACTAAGGAAAGAATTTCCAAAGTATTTTTTTTAAAGCTCTTGCCCTTGAGCCAAAACACGTCCATGTACCAAATCTCATCGAAATATCTTCAAATTTGCGGTGTATAGATTGAACACAAGAACTGGCAGTGGGACAGACGAGCGTTATATTCAAAAGATAGGTATTGTATGCATCCGCATAAGTTCAATTTACCCTTGAACCACAAGTAGTGTAGATGATATTAGCAAAGAGATCTTTAATCTTGAGACACTACCCCAGTAAGCAGGCATATGAATTGATTCGCTATATTCCGATTCAATTTTGGGAAGTTAAAAACTTTTCAATCGCACTTGGCTCGGCAAAACCTTTACTTTCAACTTATTTGATGGCTCTATATTAAAGGTCAAAGGTCGATTAATGCAGTAGAAGAAAATTGGAAGGAGGATTTCAGAATTTGAAAATGTGCTTCGTTAAGTTTTTTAAGTATTAGCATTAGCCTACTTTGAGGGTGAGTGCAAACAAGTTGACTAATTAACTTAAAAAATACATTTCCTAGGCATGTAAGTATGAAATCGTAATTTTCGTATCAAAATTATATAAAAATACTTTATTCAAACTATTGCTCATCGATAGCTGTAAAGCTGTATATTTTTTTCCCATCTGTTGGATTTTTATTTACCTGCGTGTCAATACCGTGTACACATTGAGAAAATAGCTAGAATTGGCTAAAATTATGTTCACTAATCAATAAATTGCTTGACTGAGTAAGAAAAACGTATTCTTTTGCAAAAAAATCCGATCTTATTTCAGAAACTAGAAAATCACCGCGAAATTGTATTCGACAGAGAAGAGTCGCCTTCACATTGGCCAAGCCAATGCTGGGCTTAAACGATTTTTTTCTCTTTTTTGTCATCAAAAATTCAACGCGTTCCATTGCTATGAAAATAGGAAAAGTCACGCCAATAGAGCCGTTCGAACTCATAAGCAAATAATCGAAATAATATGAAATTTTGACAGTCATCGTTTCATGAGGTTTCATATTTTCTACAAATAATGTGAGTTTTTTGTGATAAGCGACATTTTATTAATAGGCCCGAGATTTTATTGACCAATATGTTACACTAGGTACGTAAATATGCAATCGGAATTTGCCCATAAGTGGCTTTAATTACGCGTAAGGAGAGCATCCGTCTCAGAAATTCCGTTTTTTTTTTTTTTCTTTTAAACCTTTGGCATCTAACAATAGTAAGCCGTTGTAAAAATCATTTTACAACATTAAAGAACATTTTTTTTTTATCGTATCCTAACTGGCAAGGAAAAGTAAATCTAGTTTGCCAATATTACGCGTAAATATCCATGGGTTGATTCAAGCGTTCTATTCACGGCGAGCGCGAGACTGAATTGCTGTGATAGGGAGTATGTGAACTCTAAGCGGTTTAGCAACAATCAGCAAACGAACGAATGGAGAGAATCACAAAATTAAATTGACTTGAGATATAAATATTTTCAAAAAATTCTGTATCACATAAACGGAAACACATATCTTGCCTACCCTCATCATTTTCTGCAAGATAAAGGTATTATTAAGCAATAAAATTGCATTTCCCTAAAAGTAGATTACATATTTCATGCGTTCAAATGTGGAAATTTATCTGCAATATATATTTCAAGAGCAACAAAGCTGCTTCTCTTCCCAGAAATTAATCTTTTTTTTAATTTATATATTTTTTTTTTTTGCTCCTTATGTTTTCCCCATTTTGTAATATTTCTATAAGTCTTAATGGACATTTTTTTTGCCTATAGGCAAAATTCATCTATCATTATATTACTTAATGGTTTTAACGCATACGTCAAGAGCATCACTCATAAGAATCCTTGTACGATTGGAATGTTTTTTTTTTTTTTTGTTATAACACAATTGCAACTGTTTATGTCCGCACTAAATGGTAATACTTGTTGTTTTGTATTCTAAGTCAATATGAGAAATTTTACTGTAGGAGTAAACATAATTATGGAAAGATATTTGCGGTTAGCATTAACTAAGGAAATGATTGAACATAAATGAAAATCTAAAAAATTGAAAATTATTTCAAAGTTTGTTATTGAATGAAAAAAAAAGCTTTCTGTATGGTCTGCGGTGAACATAAATGCCTGGCTTAACAGGCCCTATTTAAATTAATGTTTTGAAGAAAATATTAATCGATATATATGTGAAGTTCATTTATACTTAAAGAATTGGTAGAAAAAAAATTGATTTTAATGTTTTATTTTCCGAGGGAGCAAAAAGTGTTATAAAGTCACGAAACGATAAATGTGATACTAAGGGCAGCCCATGAATGAAAATTTTCACCTGAAGTGATACATAATGTTGCCGGAAATGTTAATCTACAATATGCTCATGTTGTTTACAGGCATCAGATCTTAGCTCAATTTTTTTTGCTAACTAATGCATTTTTATTGAGAGGCAATGTATAGAGGCAGCGGAACTGTTACATGGTTCTTAAAAAATTCTTCGCTAACTTTCTAACTAATGCCTGTGGAAAATTTAATAATTTTTCTTTTTACTTTGAAATCTAATTTTTAATGTTAACGAACCAATATATGATACACTTTACTTGAAAAGATGCTTGATATTGCCATTAAGACGTCGGAAGACGTCGTAAGCTAAAACTTAAAACGCAATAGATTTAAAGCCAAAAAAAAAACAAAGTATGAATCCTTAAAAAACAACTAGTATATGCATATATTTACCAGGTGCTATATTTCTTATATGTAGCCATTAAATAAATTTTAATAATCTTTCTACAAAGGACTTTCTATTTTCTTACTTTTCTTTTAATCCTATTTTCATCTCATTTAACGTTCAAAAGAAAAAGAAATACTAAAAATATTGAAATTAAACGGCATTTATTATTGGCTTTTCTATAAAGCGGAAAGTTGACAGCACTTGCTTCAATGTAAGAGAATCAGTGCTACCAAGTTTCATTATATCAAAGTTTACGGGAACAGCTGTTTAGTGAGAATAGAAACCCATCGCAAGCAAATGTAAATTTTATAAATTCTGAAATATTTTGCAACAAATTAAATTAAAATAAAAAATTATGTTAATTCTTTTAAAAATATGCTTAATTGTATTATTAGCGACCTCGGAAAGTTATAGTGAACAGGTGAGTATTGAAAATTTTGTAAACTCTTTAATGTTTTAAATATTTAATTTTTGTTTACAGCGAACTTATTCGCAATTGCCGGCGAAATATGTGGAATCAGTGCAACGTTCTACGCATACGAACAATTGGGCCGTTTTAGTTGATGCTTCGCGTTTTTGGTTTAACTATCGCCATATTGCTAATGTTTTATCCATTTATCGTTCGGTTAAACGTTTAGGTATACCGGATTCACAAATTGTGTTAATGATAGCCGATGATATGGCTTGTAATCCCCGTAATCCGCGTCCGGGACAAGTGTATAACAACGCTAAGCAACATATTAATGTTTATGGTGATGATGTCGAGGTCGATTATCGCGGTTATGAAGTAACGGTAGAGAACTTTGTGCGATTATTAACGGGTCGTACCCAAAATGGTACTGCGCGTTCAAAGAAGTTATTAACAGATGCCGGTAGTAATGTCTTAATTTATTTAACGGGACACGGTGGTGACGGGTTCTTAAAATTTCAAGACTCCGAAGAGATAACCAATCAGGAGTTGGCCGACGCTGTTGAACAGATGTGGGAAAAGAAACGGTAAAAAGAAAGCAAAACAATTTGTGACTTATTAACGCACTGGTATAGAATACTTAATTTTTAGTTATAACGAACTATTATTTATGGTGGACACTTGTCAAGCGGCCTCGTTATATGAAAAATTCACATCACCCAATATCTTGGCCGTAGCCAGTAGCTTAGTGGGTGAAGATTCGTTGTCGGTAAGCATCTTTATCTTATTTATATATGTATATATTTTTCTTAACTGACCTTTTTTTCATTCATCTCAATTTTTAAATAATTTGTACTTTGAGTTATTTTTTTTCTTGTTCAAAATTACCAAAATTTTTTTTGCTTGTTAAGATCGTAAAAAGAACCTAAAATGCTTTTTTGTGTATAGAGTGTCTTGAAAGATGCTGAAAATTGCTCGTTATTTTTCTGCTTGAAATTTTTAGCATCATGTTGATCCCTCAATAGGTGTATATATGATTGATCGTTATACATACTATGCTCTTGAATTTTTGGAAAGAGTTCAACCCAACGGTGATGAAACAATGGCCGAATTTGTGAGTACAAATTTGTAAAAGGAATGACAATTTAATATAAAGATTTCTTTTTAAAAAATTTGCGCAGCTGAAAGTATGTCCGAAACATGCTTGCATATCGACAGTCGGTGTACGTAAAGATTTATACAAACGGGATCCTAGTCAAGTGCCCATTACTGATTTTTTCGGCAGCATAAGACCGACAGAAATTATAACTGGTCGAGTAAATATAACGTTAGCCGATGAAGAGTAAGTTGCAATGAAAGTGAACGTAAGAGAATTTGGCTAAAAACTATTTGATTTTTTTTTATCATAATGCAGAGATTTTATAAAGGTCATGGAAGAAAAACGCGATTGTTACAACGAGTTGAATTTACGTTTGAAAATGGATCAACAATTTCCAATGGATGCGTTTTAATAAACTTTTAACTCTAAAAGGCTTAGAATAAATTATTTTCTTGTTTTATAAAAAACAAATCGTATTGCTCGCCTTTATTGGTTTCATATTTTTAGCTTATCTTCGTTGAGTTTAAATTTTTTAAGATTATTTTAATTTCAATTCTATGGCTTAATTATGCGTGCTGTAGTGGAATCTCTAATCATGGCATTGAAATGATCCGTGAATATTAATTCTATCAATAAACAATGCTTCCGCAGGCAGTTACCGCGTGTGAAAAATAGATAAAAACTGTGCAGAGAAAGCGTTCAGTGGAGTTAGAAGTAATGTTAACTATCGTGAAATATCCAAAAAAGTATCCTTAGGTTTCATTCAAAAATTTCTTAAGTGTAATGTCTGTTTTCCGGTAAAGAATTTACCAAAGCCAAGGAATACCATGGTTGCTTTTATTTTATACAAGTTGTTTAGTGTATTGTCTGTTGTAAACGTTCTCCTGACCGCAAGACAAAAGCTATCGCCTTCAGATGTGTCAGAAACATTGAAAGTTCTTGCACGTAGGTTGGTATTAAAAATGCGTCAAATCGGCCGAAGGACACACCCACAGCACCACCTAAACTTAGAACAACTCTGTTTTTCAAAAGTAATAATAAATTGATTTTTTGCTTATTAGTCAAATTATTTGCAGTAAATATGCAAAAATTGAAACGCGTACTTTACGGGCGATGTTGTAGCATCTGCACAAAAGTCAGAAAATTTGACCGCACCTACGCAATATTGTAATGTATCGAAATTGAATTGATTTTTCAATACCTTTATAACGCGCAGAAACAAGCTTCGAACGCATCATAAAGTATACTAATTCTTGGCCAATTCCAAATTTAGGATACACTTAAACATGGTCATCTGCGCGCCTGTTCACCTGTCTGTTCCCGCAATTTTGTAATGTTTGTGGTAAATATTCTACCGTTAGCGAAAATAAAGAAAGAATTTGAAAGCACACGCCTCTAAGGGCCATACATCTCTCGTAAAAAAACATTTATGTTGAGAATAGAAAAAATCAAGCGCCCCCACTCCATAATATAGAGCATGAAAATTTTATTCTTTTATTTCTTTTGTCTTTTTTGGCATAACGGTGATGCGTATAAAAGATTCGAACCCGACCATAAGTTTCGTACTTGTTCTTTAAAATATTTTTACTTGTCCCTGTTATACTTGCCCCCCTTTTATTGTCCTACAAAACTATGTATGGCAAGTGCAGCGTTGAACGTTTCATGGTCTTACTTTAACCATTGAAACTCGGTATATATCTTATCACTAATATTTAATTATCCATAACAACCAGAGCAAATAATATTTCGAAGACTTTTGAAGTACTGTTATTATAATGTTTCTTACGCTAATGAAATAAATTCTTAAACTAAAGGAAAAAAAAAGGGAATAAAAATGCAGTATTATTAATATAAGCTACCAACTCTATATTTTACGAAGGAAAATTATATATTGAGTCTAATTGCTTTAATCAAGTGCTGTTAAGTTAATGCCCATAAGATTAGTTGTTCCGAACACGATTGCTTTAAGAAAGTCAATCTCAAATTGTAGATTAAAGTTGAAAGATTTTATGAAAGATTCATTAGTGTGTTGTTATTATGTAACCAAGGCAAATTCTCTGTATTGATCTTGATATTTCCGAATACTAGTTATATACAGTGAAGGAACAAGGCGAGGGTCAATAGAGGACTAGTGCTGATAGTAATTTGAAATAATAAAATAGGAAATTAGGTGCAATTACCAATGGTTTTGGGAGTTGGGCTGCAAAATCCAAGATATTAGATTATCTCTCCATTTTTTGGTTTATAGATAGTACTCGTTTAATAGAATACTGTTATTGATTTAATTGAAGACCACATACTTACATAAGCAACGAGTCAAACTGATAAAATTATTGCAAAAAATTTTCATATCGTGAAAGGGTCTTCACATGTTACAAAACATGTTTGGAAAAGAACTTCTCGATTAAGGTACACAAAGGAAAAAAAAGAAATAAGAAAATTATTTTCTGTCGCGATCGAATCTTCTATACCCGTCACTGATGTCTCAACAACGACAAATGAACTACATTTTCATGCTCTATACTAAGCGTGAACGCGCCTAAGTTTAGGTCACTTACAAATTCTTTTTCAATATATTCTTTTTTGCGAACGGCAGAACGTTTACTATAGATACTACACAGACGGGGCAGACAGACAGACTTCGATGCGTTTCAAATTTGAAACTGGTCAAGAATTTATACCTTTTTGGAAGTTTGAAACCTTGCTCATGTGCGTTATAAAGGTATTGAGAAAAAAAATTAAATTTTGATACACTATAATAGCGGGTAGGCGTGGTCAAATCTTTCGACTGGTGCTACGGCATCGCTCGTAGAATATGCATTAAAATTTGTGTACAATTTACAAGTAATAGGCAAGAAACCAATTTTTTATTACCTTTGAAACACGGAGATCGATAGCTTGATTTTTGCGACCAAGAGAATATTTACAAAGGCCATTATGCCGACGAACATTCGTAAATCGATTCATAATTTGATGCTGGTCAAGAATATGAATACATGCTTCGTGCGGGTCTCTAAAGCTTCTTTATAAGCGTTGCAAATGTTTTAACAAAACGAACGTATTCCACATCCTTAGGTGACATGTATAAAAAAAATAGGTTTAGGACAACTCGACTCTCTTCTTCTATAAATGAGTTATAAGATCGCTTTGAATTAAAATTAATCGCTTGGGTAAATACGTTATATACCTCACAGATATCTTTCTGATTTTTTGTTGTGTGTTTGTCGATTCAGACGTCTCTGTGCCCTATCCAAGTGTAACATTATAACATATTTACGTACTACTTTTTCGTGGGCATTCAAGGTTCATGTACAAGTCGATATAAATTTCCTTCCTAAGTTAAGTGTTGGTTAGGAACAGAAATAGGCTTTGGTGTATATCCTCAACCAGCATGAACAAGATAAGTAACTTACATTGTCCGTCTGTCTGTCCGCCTTTTAAAAACAACGTTTATTCGACTTGGTTCTCACTTATTTCTCTTGTCAAGCTTAAACGGTCTAAAGATTCTTGTTTAGTTAGCAGAAAATTGTTGCTAATAAAAAAAAACTTGTTGCCTTTAGTTTAGTTTAAGTAGTAAAATAATCTACACATTGCGTTATTGGATCCATTCCTTAGGCGCTTTGTTTGAATATATTGTGTTATGTTTCAGAATGACACAACAAATATATATGTGTGTTGGAGCACTGCGCTGGCAGATATGCTATGTTACAGTTACAAAATAGTATGCTTACGTTTCCATAGCTTGTTGCGTTTACAGTGCTCGCTGTTTCGAAATATATTTATTTTTTAGAATAGAGTAACAACTCAAACTCAAGCATGTATCGAATATCAATCACAACATCCGGTTTCTTATTTTTCTTTTAGTTTTCAATGATAAACGATTTTGTTAAAAAAAAATTAATTTTTATTATCCATAAATTATTTTTCTAACTCATTTTTATTAATTTATTAAAACAAGCTTTTGTTTTTGTTTTCTTTTTTATTTTTAAATTATTTGAATTAAACTAAACATTGATGCAACTAAAATAATATCACTTATGTATCATAAATTACACGAGATTTTCTCGTAACTTAAACACCTTTACCGCACTCGTATTTACGTTCACAGCATTCGGGGTAACCACGATTGGTGTTAGCGAAATCGCGCATTTTACAACCCTTGGGCGGTGCCATGGCCGGACAACTATACAAATTTTAAAAAACGATTA